TAATTTATGTTGTACAAGTATTTTGTTATTCGAGTTTAAAACTATTTTAAGCTGAAGAAATCTGAAATAAATTATTTTGTTATTTCCGAAAAAAATGTATTGAGAGACATTTTCTTGTAAAAAACTAATATTATCACAAATTTTATGGCGCTTAACAGTGAAAGTTTGATGTATAAAAGTTTTTAGGATTTAAAACTCTTAGAAATATAGTTTTGTGTAACGGTTGTCAACATATTTTTTTTCCTTAGCGAGTCTGATGCTAGATTTTAATAATTTAGAAAGTTCAAAATGCTAGCAACGCTTAAACATCAATTTCAATTTTAAATTAACGCCGTCAATACATTTTCAAACAGCATTTGAATTTAAATTGAAACCTGAGCAATTGGTGTGCCACAATAAGAGATAGTACAAATGGAAGACAAATTTTTAAGTAAATATATTTAGACACCTATTTACCGTGATGAAAACTATCTATGACATTAATCCGTATAAATTTTGTTCACATATATAAAAGAAACGGGAAGACAAATAATACAAAATAATGAATTGGGTTACCGTAAGAATATTATATGGTAAAAAAGAAATGTGATAGAATAAACATAACTCATACTTTATGAACATTAAAATAGAATGAAATAAATAAAATATAAGTAAATACAATAGTGATTGTGTATTATACAACATCATACAGATATAGTGTATCGATCATTGTTATTATATTTTATTATTACTATAATTGAAATGCATCCAGAAATGTTAATAACAACATACATATTTCGAGCGTATTTAGTAAACAAACTGCTGGGTAGACAATGCCAAACGTTAAATATTTGTATTTATTTATTGTGCTTGAGCAAAACTACGGCGAACTACGATGCTCTCCATGGGTACCATACTATTAATTTTAAATTATAATGAAGGGAGCATTCAAATTATCAATTATTTTGATAAAATTATCATCAAATCGAAATTATTAAATTTGCTTAAATTGAACAAACCCGCTTCCATGTAATATACATATTCATTAATTTACATAAGATCTAACTTTGATATTGAACGTGAACGATAATATTATTGCCGTCCTATTGTTCGGTTGAATGAGCGACTGAATGAGTATACTCATTATAATTATTATAACTTATAATTTATTCACATAAATTGATCCAATTTCCTTTTGGCTTAGACTTTAAGAGTGATCCCAAATGGTCATTGGCATGAGTATGTATTATTCAATACCTAATAATTATAATAATAATAGAAAAAAATTACTTGAATATATTTTCTTGAATATTATACGTATAGTATACTCGTATTGTGTGATTGTTGTTTAAGTAGTACTGTTATATTATTACGTCCACGATATAAATATATGCAAATTGATTTTAATTAATCAATTATTTTACCAATGGTTGGAAACAACGAATAGATTGTTTGTTGGTTGAGACCCTTTGGTATACAATTACAATGATATTTACATAGAATTACGAAACGTGCAGTGCTCTGGTTGTATGAGTGCTGAAAATCGATAGCCATATATTATTAGGAACAAAATTTTGATTAAAATACATTTTGTCTGATATTTGTCTGTTAGCAATATAAATTAAGATTCAGTGTTGATCCTTAAGTAACTTGAGTAAAATATGTATTATATTCTTCGGAAAATGGTCGAAAATTTTTTAAAATAAATGATCAACATTAATTGATTTACGTCAGAAGCGTATTTCAAAAATATAGCAAATAATGGAAAATTCGATGTTAAAGAGGTAGAAAGAGCTTTAGATAATGATAGAAAAACATAACCAAACGCTTAAAGCAAAATATATCTTATCATGAAAAATTGTTCTTTATTTTTATTTTTCCTAAATAAAATTTTTAAATAGAGGAAAAATTATTATATAAATTACGAAGTCATGCTTAAAAAAAAAAAATAAAAATAATAACTATTTCTTCATCCTCCATTATCGCAGCCCATTGAACTGAAGCTCTTAAAATGTTGCCTAGTGTATTCATTATACTATTATAATGACGCCGTTGGCCACAGAGTGCACGGAAAACTCTCCACTCATAAACTATAATATTATATACTGGGTGTTTCTTTTGATAATCAACATTTTTTTTTCAAACATTATTTATATTTTAAAAAATATTTTTGTTTTATATAATCTTACATTATTATAAAACAAAAATTTTGAAAAAAAAAGTTATTTTGGTCGTTCAATTTATTTATTTTTTTTATAGACAGTATACATATTTTTAAGGTTATCATTAAAAAACAGTAATTGTTTTTATAATTTTAATGAATAGTAAAAATATAAAAGCTACTAGATATAATATATAGTAATATATAATTTAAGTTTTGTTGAGCAAAATAAAATGACATAGGGGGATGACTCTTAAAATTTTAATTGGTTATTCTATGTTGAAATTCTAAAAAAAAAATGTTTAACTTTGGAATATGAAGTTAAACGTATATTACTTTTTTAAAATTTAAAAAAAACTTATAAATGATAATACAAACATTTACCAGTTACCTATATCGTTGTACCTATTATAACTTTAAATTTCAATTAAAAAAAAAAAAAAACGTAATTTTTTTTAAAAATGATCTGTTAAGAGTTAAAATTAATCACTTAGTATAATAATCTATTTGTATGACAGAAATGCTTATACTAACGTTAAACTCAATTTTTGAATAAGGGAGTTTTATATAATTTACTTAAACAATGCCAATACCTGTAATTGAAAAGAAAAAATATAAATGTTTTCAAAACCATCTCATGTATTATATTTATAAGAATTTAACATTGGTTGATGTTTATGTATTACGATATTTTATCACTTTTGCCTTAGCCTTTATTTTTGTTTTTACTGCATATAATATGTTTAACTTACAGCTATGCAGAGAGCTTATTTTTATGTCTTATAGAACTGGAAAAAAATGGAGTACAGCTTTGCAAGCAGCTGAAACGATGTGAAATAAATACAAGGATTTCAGACACATTTAACGTAATGGTAATATTCATTCCTTCTGTGAAATCTTTGAAAGGTTGTTTGATCGAATAAAAGAAACTCCTTTGACCATGATCAAACAAGAAATCTAAACCTCCATACTGATATTCATGGTATTATTACGTATTGCGTGTGTTTATCATGTGTATTTCTAGAACTGATTTAACCGATTCAATGATGAGGAGCATATATTATGTAAATATTATGTGTGCATTTTAATATTATATTATGTAAAAAGTTATTCGGATTTCAAGAACTCTGTATTCGTTTGATATATAATTTACCTCATAATTATTAGTACAAATAACTAAAAATAATATTATACAACACAGGTATTTTATTATCAATTGATACGTATGTTATAATATTTTATTGTTTAAATAAATGTAAATGTATATAATATGCGTAAAAAAAGAAAATGTCGTTAATATGTTGTATTACCGACATAAATAGATTTATAATATTTTTTATTTTAGGCAAATAATATTTTATACAATAGTTTATGATAGAGAAAAAAAATATCAGCAACAGAAAAATTTCATTGGTTTTCTAACTATATTAAATTAAGTAAGTAAAACTATATAATTTATGTTTATTATTAGTTATGAATCAGTTATTATGATTTTAAATTAAAAATATGTTTTAATATTACTATTTTTAATATGTGTTTATTACTTTATATACAAGATATAGTAATTAATTGTTGTTGTTCAATTGCACCGAATGGTGTTCGATTGAAAGTTATCTACGTATACTGAATTACTGTATGTTAATACTAAGGACAGTAAAAAGATAGATAACCTACCATAATTTATTACCTTTGGTGAAGTTAAGTATAAATAATATTACACTATTTGGAAATAAAACAATTTTAAAATTGTATAATTTTTTGAATTAAATGCTTTTAGAGTTGTTCGTTTCATTGTTTTCGCTGTGCATATATTCTCATTACTTTATTACTTAATTAATTACATTGTTTTAAAAAACATGTATGTGTTTATAATCAATGATATAGCTAGAAATAAAGTGCGGTTACCATTCAGCTATTGGTAATGTTTTATTAAAATTAAAATTGCTTTTAACTTTTAGTCATTATCATTATTAATTTCATACACTTGTAACTTCAAAGAATTTTATTATTGAATAGATTGATAATTTAGTTATAATTATGTTTTTGTTTTTTTATTATTATTTAAGATATCAATAGAATATGTTGATCAACTTATTGGACTGTAGACTGCAGTAATGCGGTTGCATTTTATAGTTATAAAAGTCAATTTGAACGTTGTCTTAAAATTATTTCTTTTTAAATTTTAAATAATTTAATGTTGTCTATTCTAACCATAAAAATTATATTATGATATAAATTCTTTGATCCAATTTATGATAATCTAACTGTAGCAACTGTACGTTTTATTTACGTTTTTGTGTGATAGTTTAGTTATATTATAAGTTAGATTATCAATTACCTTCATTTAGTTCATAGCTAGTAGCTCAATTTTTTTTCTATAGTATTTTTTTTTTTTTGTATTTATATTTAAATTGTATTAAGGTTGTAATTTGCTTTCTGTTTATAAAATCGTTAGTTTGTTTTGTTCTAATATAAAAGTATCATCATGAATGTAGAAAACAAGACATAATTACTGCGGTATATAAACTATTTGGTATAATAATATGAAACTAGAAAAAAAATATATATCCATATGTATTGTATTATATAAATATTACCACTACTGATATATTTTAGTATGTTTGTTTTATTGTTATGCTAAATTATTGAATAAAATTCCTCAACACGAACATTTTATTGAATAAATACCTATCTTTAAATTTGAAATGCAATAAGAGAGGTTATATCCCCACCACTATTGAGAAATCAAAGCTACGTTACCCATTGAGATAGTCTAAAATATTTGGTGCAGTACTGACGAACACTCGTTATTTATTAATACGTTAAATTTAGTAATAAGGTTGCAATTTTCGAATGTTACCTGGTGCAATTGTTTGTTGCTCCGGATACTACGCACACGTACAACGCCGCCAATAACGCCAACGTCGAAGCCATTTTTTTCTTATCCATTGTTCACCTATATGAAACAAATAAGACGACATTTTCATTTGACATGTTTATAGCAAATGACATTGTGTACAGTGTATATATATAATATATATATATATGTGTGTGTGTGTGTGTGTGTGTGTATGAATGTGTGTGCGTATGTGTATAATAAAATGAAATGCACGTTGAACCATGTTCGAAGGGGTTTTATTTCCTATGCGACAATATATATGTATTATACTCAAAACGAACTAAACGCACTTACGCACACGCATACATGAACGTCGTATACGACATATATTATTTGGAATATTATACGGTGGCATAAAACGATATATTATATTTTTGATATGTCTTTTTATATATATGAACATACGTAAATGTATTATTCTGTTATATGCTGTGTCTAAATATCAGTGTCATAAACGTAGTATAGAAAAAAATATTTTGTGTTTATTTCTAGCGACGGTTTTGTGTATTAAAATAAACACAGGCACCTTAAGTTTTTATATCTTCAATATCTTATTTCGTCACTACCACGTAATTAGGAGTACATGATATAATTTATAGATCATTAAATCACGATTCAATGACACTCAATAAATTTTGACAACAGTGATTCCTCTTGCACTAATATGTATTTAAAATAACCTATAGTATTATAAGCGATCGTAGGTATTAAATTACTGTTTAATCATTTTTTTTAAGTTGATAACGACAAAGTTTTTTTATTTGACTCAATATCTAAAAATTAATCAATATTTCGTACATTAACACTTGAATCTTGATAGGTTCAATTTATTTTCAAATCGAATTAAAAAAATAAATAAAAATAACAAAACAAAAACACTTGATGTATATTCGATTAAATTTAAAATCCACCGTGTTGTGTTTCGAAAAAAAAAAAAACCTATCATTCTGTAAGTCATACTTATTTGAGATTAATTTTAAAATCAGTTATATCACTGCTGCAGCAGTACAAGCATGGTGACCAAGTATATATATTTATTATAGTTCTATAGTTGCAGATAGAATGTATTTTCATTCAATTAAATTTAATTTCCTTATTGTTTTACTTGTATTGTTATTTTCACGTATTTTTTTAAAAGAAAACTACGAATCAAAAATAAAACCAATGCTTGGTATACAAAAATAATCCAAGCTTATCGTTATAATAGATTTTATAGAAATTTATTAATACGATTCCGTTATTTTTAAGATGTCTAATGTTTTTAAAATAATTACAGTTTTTTATTATCTTTCTTTTTTTACGGAGTCCTGTCGTTGGATCTTCCTACCATCGTATCTACCCATACTATATCAAAACTGCGATTGTTTGATGGTATTCGTACGTACACATGAGATTACACGCACGCCTTAATTGTTTTAATTCGAATTTTCAGACGGAAAAAGTAATCAAAAAGTGGTATTGATATGTTCGAGGCGTATCTGGCAGCAAAGAACAACCTCATTCGATGTTGGGAAAACACATTTTATTCTCTTTTCTTTTTCCCCCCTCATACAGCGGGAAACACCAGTTATTCTTGACCAGTCGCTGGCAAAATTCCCGGTCCAAATAAACACATTTCTCATTCCTTACTTGTTCTTTTCGTCCAATCACCGCCCGACCCTCAAAAAGAGTCCGAAACGTAATATATAAATTAAATGCGAAAACCCGAGAAATGGTTTATATTAAAAAAAGATGATAGATAAGTTCATGGGTCCTTCATAATTTATGGCTATATTATTATTTTAAATTAAATTTTTTTTTCTTCAAAATCATAATTTATTTAAAAATATACCTCATAATATTTCATTGAAAATGTTAACTTTTTATGAACTGCATTGAACTTGGTTTAATAAATATTCACAGTGTTTCTATAGAAGGTATTCGGTATTTATTTATTTATTTAATTTATTCTTTAGGTATTTATATACAATATACCTAGAAAAAATTATTTATAAAAACTTATTCCATCCCAAGTGACCAACGATTTTGTTTCATACTATATAAACGGATATTAAAAGTTTCAAATAGTTTTTTTTTTTTTTTTTTTTTTTTTAATATTCTATCATCAAATATTATTTAAGACCAACATTGTTATTTTTAAATTCTGAAAAAACTTAAATAAAAAAATAGGTAAATATTATATAACAATTCATGTATGAAAATTAAAATCACATAAGTATAGCTCCCAAATATTGTATTAGAAAACGAATAACTACTATTAATAAGTTTTATTGTTATTAAATTACAGAGTTTAAAGGTAAAGGATGTTTCATAAATCAACACGGAGATGGTTTAAAAAAAAATATTGTTTATAGTAAAATAACTAAACTATAATTTACTTAAAGTGAAAAATGCAGTATAATATTTTAAAATACCGAAGTCTAAACCCTTGAGTAAAACAAAGTTATGGACACTTTAATAAAAATACTTTTATGTTATTTTGAGGAAAAAATGGAGTAGAAAAATTTTGTGTTCGAGTGTTGTGTAAATCTATTAAAACTAGACGTGTTGTATTTATGCGTTAAAAAAAAATATATATATATATATATAAAAAAAAAATAGTAAATATCGTGACTAAATTTACAACCTTCTGTTTAATTACAGAGTAAAACATAGTATACTTCTAAATAATCCCATGTGGTGCGAAATGAGACAGTGCAAGCAGTTTCAAATTTGCAATGTTATCATATGGTAATTACACAGGGTTTTAGATAATTTATGATACAGCCCGTTTGCAGAAAAATTTTTTGGGAAAAAAAAAAACAAAGTTACAACTAATACGCTGTACGAGTGGTTGTGGTTTTCATACATCGCGTTTTTGTATTTAAAATATCATGACCACTTTCAGATCCAAAACTTTTCCAAAGTTTTGCGATAGTACATGAAGACGTAATGGAATCATTTTGCTAGAAATTCACCAAGGATCTCATACACATAATCGGTATACACGAGAATTTAATTTGATGTGCATCCGGTATAGTTAACGAACCGAACTGGACCGAGTGCTTTTGGTCTCAAAACCGGGACTAGCATACACCGTAAATTAGTTACTAAAACGGTTGAAAAACAACCGCCACTGCATCTGTGGTATGAAAGTATAAAATAATAATAACAGTAATAATAATTTATGGAACAAGTCTGAGAATATATCGTTAAAATATGTCTCAAAAAGTCAACAATTTTGTATTCAAAACTTGAAAATTTGAAAAATCTAAGTTTGAATCCATAGACTAATTATACAGTGTATGATTATCTAAATTGTATAGATAACCCTTACTTTATAAAATCACGTGTAATAACAGCGTTAACTCAAAAATAAATATTTTAAGGTGTGTACGTGGCACATTGTTGTGCTCGTAACAATAATGCGGGGTTGTTATTCCAAAAAAGGCTATTGCTTGATGTAGTGAATTATTTCTGGAACAGTGAAACGCAATCAAATGGGTTTGGTAACACTATGCATAATATCGTGTAATAATATTCTAGGTGATTTTCATTTCTCGGTTATGTAGTATGAGAATCTACGAATGAAATGAAATTTAAATCAAAAAACGATGTAAACACACATGAAATCGCTGAGGATTTCCAGAAAAGACTTTTAGTACCGTTTGTCGAGCGCGCAAGGATTCGAATAACGAAATATATAACCATTTCGAATGCAATTTTCCATATTAAAACCTCACTGAAAATTTAATATATCAAATGTTTGTTATATAACGTTGCATATATAGAATAAACTGAGATAGATTGTTATAATTTAATAGAATATAATAATACGCGCAACCTTTCAAAGCCATTTAATTAGTTTAACTAGAAAACCATGGTTGATTAAAATATATATACATAAATTTCACTGTTTTTAACATTTATTATATTTTAGATATTGTTATTATACATAATATAAGTCTTGGTAATAAATGTGAAGAAATGTAAGAAAATACAACTATATTATCATAATTTTAATTATAATAATAACAAGATTTTTTAAATTTAAAAGTTTCAGTAATAAAAATGTAGTATTATATAATAATAATATACGAATGACGTGATGATAAATTACCGGTGGTGTTTACGATTACCGTAATAAGGCATAAGCTTAAAAAAGTGTAATGGTGAGAGCGAAATCCCGATGTGACGGGGGGCATCCAGAATATTTAGCATGTCTTATACATAGCAGTTTATGATTTTTTAAATTTAAACCCGAAGGCTGGCACGAAAGCTGATATTATATTATACAATATTGTCGAAATTTAAACTGTTGCAGTCAGTCTCACTAGTACTCGGGCACCTTTATTATTATTTCATTATCAATGGTATAATATCACTAATTAGGATGCAATGGATAACAAAAGCAAGTCAAAAATGGCGTCGGAAATGACGGTGATAACAATTAACATTGGACGAAACAAAAAACAAAATCGTTAAATGTCCAGTGTTGTGTACGGTCTTTCGTAATATATAACGTGAATTTATTTGGTGTGTGTGCGTGTATGTATGTGTGTGTGTGAGTAGATTATTACAACCATGACAGAACATCCGACGTATGCGAAGATACGAAGGAATATAGAAACATTTTGTACCATGTAAACGCAATATTATTACAGCGTAATGGAGCCAGTTAAGCCGGCCGACAGAAAAAAAAATGACAACGACGCGTATAATATAATATATATTATTTTTAGTTTTATAATTTCAGCTGGAAAAAAATTAAAAAACATAAAATACAGCGCTTTATATTGGTATATCTCTGGTCTTAGCGTATCTCATTTCACTGGGAAATCACGTTAACTGTGTACCGCTTGCTGTGTGAACTAATTCTGCCAGATGGTAAATTCATCCGAGGCGGGTAATACTTGACATGTTAGAAAATATTTTTCAAAACAATTTATAGATTTTTCGATACCTCGCACAATAATCTTTATAATATTCGCATAAGTCAGTCGATTATATTTTGAGTCTTTAAGCCACAGACACGTAGACATCCCCTTTCTATGTATATTTGAATAAAAAACATTAAT